CTGAAATGAAAAAAACATCCGCCCGTATCCAACATACACTCATTTTATAGTAGCAATCAAAATTGTCCTTTCTGCATACCCTACAATCAAGAATTGTTGATTTGTTGAATACTGAATATATATAAAATGTGTGTCACTAGACGTAAATCAAGTTACACATGATGGCTATGCTACCTTATGTTTAGCGATTTAATGGTTTGTCGAAATTTAAAAAGATCATACAAGAATAATTTAAATATACAACACTGAAATGGTTAATATAGCTAAAATGGATGTGTTTGATTTCATAATAGTCATTTCGTTCCCTGTTCGCAATCATAAATATAAGTTTAAAATGAATGCGCATTATACATTTTTTTTAAAGAACAGAATTCCGCATTTCATTGGTAAGTTTACTTACGATCTTGCGTAATAAAAAAATGTTTCGTACGTAAGGTTTAACATATATTTTGATTACAGTAATAATGATATTAATATATTAGTGTAAAAGAATAAACATCGCTTTTAAATCATAGCTACGGTGAATATGAACAAACAAAAAAGTCTTTATAAATTAGTACCGGGTGTTGTGTCCAAATTAAAATATGTTTTGTTCGATTCTTCCACGTTGGTTTTAAATAACTTTTTATACTTTGAAAAAACATTGTACTGAATAAACATTTTGATTCAAAAGATCAATTATGACACGAGTCTACAAGTATTCGAACGATAAACCAATGTTGGAGTTTTCGTTCTCTAATCACTCGACCAGATTAATTGTTCGATAAATTTGTCTAAAATAGGACATTTGTCAATTATTTGTCTACAATAGGACATTTTATATCATGTTTTACATTACATTCAGATGAGCATGTGGCAGTCACGGAAACAGCATTATATATTATACAGTGGATAAAACATTCGCCATCTGCAAATAGGGGATAAGTAATCATCGAACTTTCTCCAATTGAATTTATTTTCGATAATGGAGGAACCATTCATTGATGAATTGATTCTAGCTGCAATGTGCCAAAAAGAAACATTGTTTTCCCTCGGAAGTACATATAAATAGTACACTATTACCCAGTGACTAAAGGATGCGGATGTAGGCAACATTGCGAAAAACAATAACCGAAAAATTAATATGACAGAACTCAACCAACACACAATGAACCTAAAAATCATTAGATAATATTAGAATCGACAGATCGATTAAAAACTCATAAGTCGAAATAAACTGACAACGCCATGGTTAAAAAGAAAAAAAGACAAACAGACAAACAACAGTACACAAAACACAACACAGAAAACTAAAGACTGGGCAACACGAACCCCCACCAAAAACTGGAGGTGATCTCAGGTGCTCCGGAAGGGTAAGCAGATCCTACTCCACATGTGGCACCCGTCGTGTTGCTCATGTTAGTACAAACCCGGCAAATAGTATAAATTCGGTAGATCACATTCGTGAAAAGGGAACGGGATTGTAGTTACGACATTTGGAACATATCCGCTATCATCTATAAAACGGATATTCCATAACGGCCAACCAACTCGTGATGGCGTCCGTAAAAATTTACGAAGGGATGATTTCAACTTCATCACTAGGAACTCTTGGTTTGATAGCTTCCTTGTGAGCAGCAACCCTCTATCAAGGATATCATGATATGAAATACAAGCCCTGGATATATCGTATCAACTAAGAGATATATACTCCGTATGCAGGCGCTGCTGGAATGTTGCTACATAGAAATGGAAAGTTCCCAATTGGAAAGCTGAAATCATCTCTTTTGTTGTAAGTTTTGTTTTCAACCGACCCTCATTGTCAATTTTTGGATGTAAGTCAAGATATGAGACAGACTTAACTGTATCTTTTTTTTCTCAAGTTCGATGGGATAGATGCGTTCAACATAGTCACCAAATTTTGAATTATTTAGTTAGAGAACATCATCTTTATAGCGGAAAGTAAAGTTAAAGGATACTGCTAACTTCTGTGGTTTCTCCCTAAGATGTTCCTGTATGAAGTCAGCCTCATTTTAATAAAGAAACAAGTAGGCAAGAAGAGGGGCGTAGTTGGTTCCCATGGGAATGTTTGTTGAAAAACACGTCCTTCAAACGTTACACATATGTTGTCAATCAAGAAATCAAGCATCTTGATAAAGTCAGATTCAGAGAATGTTTTGTTTGAATTAGAGTGATTAAAGTAATTAGTGAAAAGGAAAATCCTTGTTTATTAATGTACAAAGACACATAAGTTCTTCCACTGTTTTTGTGAATTTCGTGTTGATCAGAATTTAGGTTTTTTTCGTCGTTCTAAGATTTTACCGTGGTATTGTATAAAGAATCATGATTTTCGATTGCCCTCTTGGTATCTTATGTCTCTTTTTCTATAGTATAAGTTCAATATAATCTAAAACGCCACAATAAACACGGTATTTGCGAACAAGTTAATCCAAGGAACATCACCGTACACAAAAGCAAAAAATAACAACGTTAAATACATTTTTTAGTTAAATTGAATATAGACTGATCTGTGCTTAATGATATTAGTACTGTAGTTAAAGAGTTGCTGTCGTCATTTGGCAGTTTTACTTGCGATGTGACAATAACTGTGCTGCTAGATTTTTGTCACATTAACCATTTATGTCTTTGGGTTGCTCCCCCATTTTTGTCAATAAAACGTAACTATAAACAAATGTCATACAAGTGGAAGGTTTAGCTAGCTATAAAACCAGGTTTAACCCAACATTTTCTTCGAAAAATGCCTGTACCAATGCAACTCAGGAATATGACAGTAGTTTTTCATTCGTTCCGTTAATTGACAAACGTTTGATTTTGTCAGGTTTTATGGACTTCACACTTTTTGAATTTGCCTTGGAGTTCGGGTTTTTTTTGCTAAACATTTTTTGAACTCTTTTGTCATTTCAAAGAAATGTAAGATTTTCATCTAAACGTGATAATTGAATAATGTTTCTTCGTAAAAAATGTAATATTTTACATTCGTAAAAAATGTAATATTTTACGTGATTATAAATTAGTTTATTTGATATAGAAATATCAACAAATTGATCGTTTTCAATACTTGAAATTGAAGAAGGGACGCTAAAATCGTACCACATATAAATTATAAATTTAAAAAGACGTCATATTAACATTTTTCAAGTGAAAATGAATAACGAACAAACGCTTATCCATTATAACACATATAAATTTCACAAACATCCATTTTTAAAGAGATTACTATCATTATACACTGAACTACAACTACACATAACAACTTGTTCAAAAAATAAAATAAATGGAGACAATTTATTTAACAACATCTACCTATTCAGACAAATAATACATTAGAACCATTTATGTTGACATTTGCCAATATGACAAATATAAATATCATTTTGCGGTTAATTGTGAATGTTACATAAATTTACAGATGGGCTAGTCTGTATGCAAATTATCAAAACTGATAATAAAATCGAAATCACGAAGTAATTTTAGCAAAAACTGACAAAATGTCCTAATGTATACAAAAAGAAGGGTACACCTTAAATACATATTAAATTTGTTCCTTATAGCTTCAAGTTTTGAAATTACACGCGTCTGTTTATGAAGACTGTATGTTGATCTGTAGATTTCTTTAACTTGTTTGCATCGTTAGTTTCTCTCCCTTTAACATAAAGGCCCCATCATGTTAACCATATTCTAGAAAGTTTTAAAAAAACTTGGATTGAAAACCGATCCTATCTCTTTTATGTATACAAATACCCGGGTTGCAATACTTATCGATTATAGTTTGAAAGGCAACATGATTGCTACTGGTAATTGAAGGACTAGCTATATAGCCTGTTGGCAAATTATTGAAACTGAAAAAAATTGAAATCACAAAGTGATTTTAGCTAAAAGAGACAAAAAACGTCCTAATGTATACAAAAAGCAAGGTACACCTTAAATATATAAATGTGTTCCTTATAGCTTGAAGTTTTGAAAAGACACGTGTCTACTTATGAAGAATGTATGTTGATCTGTAGATCTGAACTTGTTTATATCGCTGATTTCTTTCCTCTCAACATAAAGGTCCCATCAACCATATTCTAGAACGTTTAAAAATCTTGGATTGAAGGCAGATCTAATCTCTTTCATCCAATGTGTTTTAATTTACTTTGTCTTTGTTCTTAATCTTGCAACATAAGATATTGTATTTGGTTGAAAAGCACTCTAAGATTCTTTCAGTCTTTTTTTAACCTTGATTTGCCTTCTTACTGGATAAGTGTGATTTGAACATCGTCTTAAAAAATTGTTCTTAATCTATTGCAATATGTATTTATGACATAATAAAGTACTTGTGTTAAAAACCATCTTCAATGGTACACAAATATTAAGAAGTATTGACATAGCTAGCAATAACACGAGGTTTAATCCACCATTTTCAACAGAAAATGCCTGTACCAAGTCAGGAATATGACAGATGTTTTTCACTCGTTCCATTGGTTGAAAACGTTTGATTTTATAATTTTTTATGGTATTTTTGTTTTACTTTTATTCGGTAATTCAATAAACTACAAAGTCTCAAAAACAACTTTATTTTGTGATGATCTTAGACATCAAGCCAGCCTTTTACACAAATGATTAAACAAAATAGTACCTTGCATATATAGTGTGTGTCAGTGCGAGACATTTGTACAATACCCTGACCCTTACAAAATTTTACAGTGTACAAATTGACCAACAGAAATCCTTTTTGTTTTGTTATTGAGTTTCGATTTCATTGTCGTATTCCATACATTTTTTCCTCTATTCAGATTGTGTTACAAATAACAAAATTATAGTATGATGTATCAAATGTGACGTTTGGCTTAGATTTTGACAACTCGTTCAATTTAAATTGAAAGCAAATTGATGGCAATTGTCAAATTAAAGTAATTGGTAGCAGTATTAGTTGAAAATTATGTACCTAAACCATTAAAAATATATACTTATTTGATATATAATTTGACGTGCCTTTAAAATTTATGTACCACCAACATTTGTGTTACATTATACGTTGATGTGTATAAATAAGAAAGTATTGCCAGTTTCCAAACGTGTTTAACTTAGAATGTTGTTGATGGTGGCTTTGTCACTTGTCATCCTTAAAGGTACGTAAAATTATAATAAGGTACGTAAGATTATAATTATAATAATTTCATCCTTAAAGATACGTAAAATTATAATAAGGTACGTAAAATTATAATTATAATAATTTCATCCTTAAAGGTACGTAAAATTATAATTATAATAATTTCACCCTTAAAGGTACGTAAAATTATAAAAAGAAATGAATTCGGAATTACAAGTTTCACCATACATATTTTTTTCAATAATTCCCGGACCAATGTTATATGTAAATATAAATAAGACCATGTGGTATGAGTGCCAATGAGATAACTTTCCATCAAAGTCACAATTTGTAAAAGTAAACCATTATAGGTCAAAGTACGACCTTAAACAGTCTTATTTTGTTTGTGAGTTTCATAGCAACAAAACTTTTATACTTATACAACTGTCCTTAATCAGTAACCTTTATCCTATTGTTATACATATATTGTATGATCAGTTTAAAAAATTACTACCAACATCGTAACACATTTTGCCTGACAATTACAATAACGATATGTATAGAAATTCTTTGAATGAATGAAGTAAAATTAAATTAAAAATTAAAGGATTGTATGTATGCTTTATTTTGTCACCTTGCATTTTCACGGCTTGGCTGTTTTTCTTCAGCAGATCGTTAAAATTTCTGATCAGTTAAACAGTTTGGTTTGATAAACCAAATTGCAATTTGGTCAGAATTATGAATAAACTGCAACTAAAATCGGTGGGGAGCAACTCTTACAGTCAAGTCACATTAAATGACCACCTGTTGATAAACTCTCACAATAACTATTGAACAAACTAAATGGACAAACTGTACTGACAATTTTTTCAAACTGGTCAGACAATTGGTATTACAATTATTAATAGGACAAAGGTTACTGGATAAGATCAATAATCTATTTAAAAAATTCAAAACAGGCCGACAGGCGAACTACTTTTAAACGTATTCAAGAACTTTTTTTATACGAACATGATTTTTATAGCATTGTTTTGGGGAATTATTTGATATACATGTCTGCTGTGACGTTTTTGATTTTAACGAACGTAATTTATGTATTACTGGTAAATTATTAAGCCAGGGATTTCGTTACCACAAATTACTTAAAACCTTTACTAAATTCTTCCAGAGATATAAAGATTTGGTTTTGAAGTTTGGTTGTACTTATTTCAAACGAGATTGCACATCCTCATTTTTAAGTCAATATTGTTTTCCGTGCCAATTTAGAAACGATCCTGGTAAACTTATCGATCCTTTGAATAAACTTATTCTAAAAGGTTACCAATTCAACACTGTAATTAGGTCATTAAATATTGTTTTTATTGGTACTAATATTGATTTTGTTATCAGTAAATTAAAAGCAAACTAAATAGTATTGTTATATAAATATACACATTCATAGATCTACAATCTGTCGATACCTGTATCTTGGCATTGCATGCACGCACAAGGTCATGTTTTTCTCTGACTGTTAATGACGTCTTTACACTAAATCCATTGGATGCTGGATGTGTACGGATTGATAATTTAGTCTTAGATGCATGATTTTTTTTATTAGTTGTTAGTGGCTTTGAACTAGCTGTCAGTAACTGCGAGTACTCTCATATCTGTACTTAGTGTCTTTTTGTTGTTTGGATGTACAAGTACCCGGCCACGTCCACTTGTATTTGTATTTTTATCCATCTGATAAGTTAAGCCTCGTTCAACTGTTTTTTATAGTTCGTTCTTATGTTGTACTGTTACACCACTGTCCCAGGTTAGGGGGAGAGTTGGGATCCCGCTAACATGTTTAACCCCGCCACATTCTGTATGTATGTGCCTGTCCCAAGTCAAGAGCCTGTAATTCAGTGGTTGTCGTTTGTTTATGTGTTACATATATGTTTTTCGTTCATTTTTTGTACATAAATTAGGCCGTTAGTTCTCTCGTTTGAATTGTTTTACATTGTCATTTCGGGGCCTTTTATAGCTGACTGTACGGTATGGGCTTTGCTCATTGTTGAAGGCCGTACGGTGACCTATAGTTGTTAATTTCTGTGTCATTTGGTCTCTTGTGGAGAGTTGTCTCATTGGCAATCATACCACATCTTCTTTTTTATATATGTTATTTTTACGGGACTGATTGATGTGTTGACTAGGCAATTAACTCAAACACCAAACAATAATTCCTTCGTACTTCATTCAGTTTGTGACCGAGTCGGCCTTTTATATTCTTCAATAAACACGTGGTTGCAACTCCCTTAAGTAAAGCTGATTTTAAATAGTTTTGAGAATTTTTTTCAAAAATCGACAAATTACGCATTTTTATAATTCCTTTCGTGTTAAGCTTCTAAATTTTTATTTTGAACTCTAACTCTTTAAGAAGCATTACAACATTTGTATCTGAGAACAAGCTATTGTCGTACTTTAAAGAATCTAGAATGTCAATTCACTAATAATTTATCTTCTTTATGGTGAACCACTAGTGGTAGGTCAATGATATTTTGTATGCAATTGTATTAGCATTGGCACATCTCATTTCCATGGAGGTTATTTGGTCCTGCCCCCTCAGTCATGGTCTATTGACTTTGAAAATTTTGCTTAGTTTACATGTATTATTTTGTGATTAGGTCAGTTTATGGGGAACCACTAGTGGTAGGTCAATGATATTTGTATGCAGTTGTATAAGCATTGGCATATCTTATTTCCATGGAGAATATTTGGCCCCGCCCCCTCAGTCATGGTCTATTGACTTGAAAATTTCGCTTAGTTTACATGTATTACTTTGTGATTAGGTCAGTTTATGGGGAACCACTAGTGGTAGATCAATGATATTTGTATGCAGTTGTATAAGCATTGGAATATCTTATTTCCATGGAGAATATTTGGCCCCGCCCTCCTCAGTCATGGTCTATTGACTTTGAATTTTTTGCTTAGTTTACATGTATTAGTTTGTGATTAGATCAGTTTAAGATGAACCGCTAATATCAAGTTAATGATATTTGGTATGCAAATTTATTGGCATTTGCAAGGCTCGTTTCCATGGAGATTATATAGCCTAACCCCCTCGTCATAGTTTATTGACTTTGAAACTTTAACATGGTTTACAACATGTACAAGTTAATGTTTGTGTTTAGGTTTGTTTAAAAGGAACGACTTATGATAAGTCAATGGTATTTGGTATGCAGTTGTATTAGCATTTGCACGTCTCATTTCCATGGAGATTGTTTAGCCATGTTCTTTCAGTCATGGTTCATTGACTTTGAATATTTACATAACATGTTAAAGTATTGCTATTTTAATTTCAACATTTGCATTAACAAAATTAAAAAAAGGCGAGACATATCTCTGTGTTAACAGTTTATTATTGTCTATATTTACTATGAAATGTCCATGTCATAGCTATGTTTGTGTTCTAGGGGATGCTCATTCACTTCCGCTATTACCAGCAAGTGATAGTTGTTTAGAAAATTTTGTCAATCTCTTCAAATGTCATCAACTACCTTCACTAGATGACTACATATACAGTTTTGCTGCGAATGGTACAATGCTGGACTTGACTGATGTCCATAATGCATTTAGAACTTCTGTGGATAAAGACATTGTAAAGGATATTTGCAGGTATGAAGGGGTTGGGTGATGTTTACAGAATAGAGAGAAAAAATGGCCAACCAAATGAAAAATGTAGAAAAATGGCGTGCTTAAATATAAAGAAGTGAGAATTATAGCGAAAAGAAATTAAGGATGTACTAAGGTGAAATTAAAAACAATCTAGAATTTGAAATTCATACTATAAATCGGAAGAGCATTAGTTAAGGAACAAAATTAGCTAAAATATTGATAGGTTATGGAGCTCCTTTTCGAAATATTTTTTTTTAAATGGCGGGAAAAGACTGACTCGGACTTTTACCTTATATTTGCATTGGTATTATTTAGGTCTCAAATCTAAAGAAAACAAATCTAGAATCTGCTTAAATTTTGGTAAATGACCTTTAATGAGCTATTGAAGTCTTATTCGAAAAGAAAAATGGGTGTTATGGGGCAAAATATTTAACTCTGTATCGTAGGGAAAAAAAAACAAGAAGTCCGAACATCTGACAAAAAATCCTAAACCTCACCTAAGTACATCCGTAAGGAATAGAAAAATGGACCAAACAAATTAAAAGTACAGAGAAGAAAAACCCTCATCAACCCTTCGCTATTTATAGACAGCTAGGTCATGTATGTACAAAATTTCTTACATGTAGATGCCATTGGGAATCTCTTGAACGTTGATAAAGTACTTTGAAACAAAATTCGTAAGATGATTATAAAAATCTTTATAGACATGCACCAAGCTTATCGTTCGGCACGCCAGTTGCGCGTTTGTCAACTCATGAGACTCACTCCTGGTGCTCAGATGAAAATATTTGGAAGGTCAATAAATTATAAAATTGAAGAGTAATCATTCCTTAAAATGTTCTAAATACAACTTAGGTGATCTTTCCCTTGGTGTATAAAACCTTCAATGTTTCGAATGTAAGTCCAAACAAACGTGTCATTTACTAAGGCAAATGATTATCCATCCGAGAATGATTAGTATTTAAGGCTGCATAAACAGATATATCTTAAGTTGAAAAGAGGGGAATGATTCCGAGTGGGTTATACAAAAAAACACAAGTTTAATAAAACTCTTGCCAAGGCCAGAAACACAAACAACACTCCACAAAACACTAGACAGGAAACTAAAAACTGAGCAACACGAATCTCACAACAATCCATGATTTAAGGTAGGTACTCCAATATGTTCTTGTTATGGTAGCATTAAAACCTTCATTTTGCGTAAACGTATCTCCAAATTCATTGCTGTCATTATATTCAAAGTTCACACCTCGAATCGTTAAATATATCCATCTCTTCCGTTGTAAAAACAATAAGGACTTAGTGAACGATGCTTGAAGAAAAGAAAGACCATCGACCCTGAAGCTATAACACACCAGCATAGTTTTGGAAATATCTTTTATATATTTTTCCTGTTATGCTTTTTTTCACCTGAAAAATGTTTGTATAGATTATAATACAACATTATTTGTAATTTACTTATAGTTACTTTGAGGGCGTGTCTACATGTTTACAGAACAGTTACACATATCTGCAATCGCACTGTCCATCAAAAATGGTTAAAATTGCGGAGTCGTTTATTCGGTTAACCTCAGCATTGTGTGACCTTTATGAAGCTGGTAAGTATAGGTACCCTTAGGTAGCCAAGTCTTTCATCCGATTCTTAGCGGACTTCAAAACTGCTAAGCAAATCTTGTTTTGTACTAACACTGTCATTTTAGCTCATACACTGTTTATGCAATGTTCTTATATGTCGTTTTTATACGACCGCAAAATTTTTTATATTGGTATCATGTCGTCGTCGTCGTCAGCGTCGTCCGAAGACATTTGGTTTCCGAACAATAACTTTAGTAAATGTACATAGAATTCTATGAAATTTAAACACAAGGTTTATAACCACAAAAAAACAAAAAAGGTTGGGATTGATTTTGAGGATTATAGTCCTAACAGTTTAGGAATTAGGGGCCAAAAAGGGGCCCAAATAAGCATTTTTCTAGTTTCCAGACAGTTACTTGTGGATCGATGTATGGATCTCTCTGAAATTATACCACAAGTTTCCATACCACAAAGGGATCATGGTTAGGATCGGCTTTGGGGGATTTTGGCTCAAACAGTTAAGAATTAGGGGCAAAAAAAAAAGGGAAAAACAAGGGTTTCCTTGTTAATGGACAATTAAAAAAAGGTACAATGTTATGTTTGGATTACCTCCCTTACACTGCTTTTAATTATGTATAAAGAAATGTTGTATTGTCTTGAGGTGATTAGCTGTCAATTTATTTTAGAAGTTACTTTTTAAAAATGCTGATTAAAGAATGTATTTTAGCCATGATTATGTATGTCATAAAAGGGGGAGGTGAAAAAAAATGGCGGGGGGGGGGGTTAAAAAAGAAATTGTGAGGGGGGGGGGGGGGGTCAATTCGCAACAGCATAGTGTATTGCACAAAGCAAAAAAAAGGGGCGTAATTTTTTTTAAATTTTTTTTTTTGGGGGGGGGGTCAATTCGCAACAGCAGAGTGTATTGCACAAAAGCAAAAAAATGAATATAGATTCAAATCATATAACCAATTATAAGTTCTTTGACTACAGTTATTCTGTGTCAGAAACCTATTATGTGTCAGAAACCTATCATGTGTCAAATATTTAATTACAATCCAAAATTCAGACCTGTATCAAGCGCGAATATTGTGTCCATTTTTGCCCCAACTGTTCAGGGTTGGACCTCTGCGGTCGTATCCAGCTGCGCTCGGCGAAGCAATTTATTTACTATTATCGTGATAATGCTACGAATCTGTCATGTTTGATCAGAACCCATCTAATTCAAAAGAATACAGATATTGCGGGTAGCAATTTATTCATGTTTCAAATGTAAAGTTATTTTATTTTATGCAATCTCTAAAAATGGTAGAGACGAAAGCTGCATGTGTTATCATTGGGAGATGTGATCATAAATTAATAAGTTTACTGTGCTAGACGAGGAATTATTATTTCTTGATGAAGGAAAAATTACGACTGGCCCAATGTCCAAAAAAAAAATACAAATGTCTTTTCACTGCAATACAATTGAACATCGGGTATAAGTCAAACATGTTTCAAATTTGTTAATTACACATATTAGTGGTGGGCCATTGTGTTTCCATAAGATATACTGTTGAGTAAATGTGTTATTCTTCGTACACGTGTTTTTTTTAATAGATATTAATATGATGGTGCAATGTTCCAACCAGGATAATAGTATATTAGTGACGTATGTAAGCTGCATGGAAGGAGCCTATAAATATCTAAGTCAACACACAATACACCAGTGCAGGTATATACATAATATTGTGCTTGATAAGCTAGCCATAATTATTCAATTTTGCATCCAGATTGGTCAAAAAGGGGGAGGTGGTTTTGACCCCATACTATTCCTTTAAATCACATAAAATTTACGATAATTAGACTGGAAAAAATTAGGTAGGTCCTCAAAAGATAAATTTGTGTCTTGCCCTTCACAAAGAATATTCGCGAGGAGAAAAATGTTTTGGCAAACATTATCTAAATTTGACCATTTTTTTTAGTGAAATCTAAACTATGAATTTTAGATTTGCCGACTGTTTGTAAGCTGAGTATCAAAACACTAGCTCTACGGTTGCAATTGTTGCTGCAGGAGGAGTAATGAACTATCCACGTTTTGTAAACCTTAAATCCGAAAAAATAAAGAAAAAACAAATAAGAAATCGATCTCATTCATTGCTACATTTGTTTTACAACAGGGATAAAGATGTGCTAAATTGTTCAATACGTCTATCAGTAAATTTATCAGGAATTTAATAACAAGGGGTATTTCTTATCCAGTTTTTAGGTTAAAGTATTGATAAAGATACTCAGTATAGGCTTTGTTATTCAAATCTTTCTCTTTGACACAATATACTTATCGATGAATCATGTATACTATTTTTGTTTATTTTATTTTTTATATCAATTGACTAATATATATGTCAAACGAATGACACGGTGAAGAGAGGCGCTTGTGGAGTATACCTCAATGAGACAGCAATTAACCTATCAACAACAAAAAATCTGGAAAAGTAGTAAGGGAGCTACCATTTGATTTTTATGGGGGGGGGGGGGGGGGGGGGGGGGGCTAGGATGAATAAGTGTGTCCTGCATTTTTTTTAGTTGTAATCTCTGTCCTGCCTTTTTATTTTTCACTCTATTCGGTCCTGCCTTTTTTTTTATTAGTTTATCCTGACTTTTTTTAACATAAATTGTCATCCTGCCTTATTTTTCCAAGTTGCTCATCCTGCCTTTTTTTATACTCAAAACTCCTGTCCTGCCTTTTTTTTTTCCAAATTTCATCCTAGCCCCCCCCCCATAAAAATCAAATGGTAGCTCCCTAAACATATTTCACAGATTAAATTTGCTAATGACATAAACATTCCTTATTCATCTTTCCCAGCAATTTATCAAGTTTAAATAAGCCGTTAGTAAGGGAGACAACTGAAGGAGACATTACTTCATACTTATTATAATTAATATTGATATTCACGCATGTAAAAAGGATGAAAAAACATTCTAAAGTCTGACTATAATTTTTATCATTGAAGTTGTCATTGACAAGAATTAATTCCATTACGTCCAAAATTATAGTTTCGCACCCAATAGAGTCCTTACTGTCAACCGAACCACATTAAACAAAAAAGAAAGGGGAAAAGAAGTGAGGAGATTTCAAGGATCGTATCTTAAACCATATGTCGCAGAAAAACCGACAATGTTCGGACCAAAAGGAAAACCATCAAAATTACTATCTGGTTCACAAAACATTACAAATCAATTAAACAACACAAACCTTTAATTACCTTTAACCGGAAGTGAATACTGGTGCTCCGGAAGGGTAAGCAGATTTTATTGTCCGTTTGGGTAGTTGGACCTTACCACACCAAGACAAATATAGATAAGAACTCAATAAAATAACTGGCATACTAGTTAAGACGCTAGAAAGCAAACAAAATAAGAAACAAAAACAAATAGCAAAAAATAAAAAAAAAACAAACATATAACAACAAAAAAAACATTCAAAAACGTAAATCTAAAACCTCCGATTGCCCATTAAAATGTATTACCTTAACTATATATCTACTTATTATTTACAGTATTGTCCAGCGTTTTCGAGATTGTTTGTACCAGTTTGATACCTGTTCCGAGATTCACACATTCCGCTTAATGACGATGTTTGATGAGTACAAAGACGATGTCTGCTTTATTTTGAAAGAATTAAAGAATTAGTGTCGAGAATCAACTATAATCTATTTCAGTCAAACAGAAAAAAAGTCTACTGCCAACGAAGTTTTTTTCGATATCAATTGTGTTCGTCTTATTTTGTTTTTTTTTCAGTATAATATCAAATTACCATGAACAGATTATCGGTGCCACTTGTGGAACAGGATCTCATTTTCCTTCCTGCGATCAACACCAGTTGTTCATGTGGTTCTTGTTGCTTAAGGTGGTACCAAACACTTTGACTAAAATTAGTTTGGCTCGTTTAATTTTCATAAAATTTTGACAAAATATTTACTTTGACCCTTTGACAAAATTATAAAAATTTCAAAAAACTTGATCCACACACTTTATCAGAAAAAAATCATTGGATATATAGCAGTTTGACAAACACTAATTTTGATCATTGGGAAGCTTAATATTTCCTTAACAATCATTATAGAACGTGATTAAAACGTTCAGCTGATTTTTACAGAGTTATCTCCCTGTAGTGTTTTGTGGACTTGTTTGTCTTTTCGTCTTCTTTCTTTTTTTTTCTTTGCGTTATCAATTTCTTTCGGCTCATGAGCTTTAATTATCCCCTTGGTATATTTCGACTCGTTTTCTCCTATTGTTTTCCTTTTTGTTGTGTATCAATTTTAAATGACAGATGCTATCCAGAAGGGTGTGGATGGGGTTTACAAAATATAGAATAATGGGCAAAAAACATAAAGAATAGAGAAAAATGGACCAAAAGAATAAATAATAGAGAATAATGAGATGCTAAAATATAAAGAATAGAGAATAATGGGCAAAAAGTATAAAGAATAAAGAAAAATGGCCTTAAAATTAAAGAATACAGCAATTAAGGACCCCCAATCTAGACCCTCATCCAGTTGTTGTATTGTTTTGTGTATTTGACTGTTGAAAAAATAAATAAATAAAACAAACAAACAAACAAAAATACGATATCCCTCTATTCTCGACAGTTCAATTTCAAATATTTAAAACGCTCGGCAAGCTTACTTTTTAAATTTGAAAATTTAACTGTCTCAAGTGGGAAAATTTCGTCTCGACCTCGAAACAGTGGTATAGAATCTATATGAACATAATTTTTCAAATTTTGAAACAATTCAATTATATGTAATATTTTCCCATTCTATTTTAGTAATAACAACTTAGACATTAGCAGTGGATATGATTGTCATTCTATTTAGAGGTCAAGTCGATTCAATTGAAACACCAAGCCAATACCATCAACACATCGATGACCTTATCGAGGTTTTTTCCCTCGGAAATAAACGTTGAACCTTCAACGTTGTTCCTACAACTGCACAATCTCAAATATATCTTATGCGTTTGTTTCAAATAGAAATGGATTAAAGAATTTGGAGAAGAAGAAACATACATGTACTATATCTTTAATCCACCATTTTCTACATAGGAAATGCCTGTACCAAGTCAGGAATATGGCAGTTATTTACATTCATTTGATGTGTTTGAGCTTTTGATTTTGCCATTTGATAAGGGACTTTCCGATTTGAATTTTCCTTGGAGTTCGGTATTTTTGTTATTTTACTTTTCACCAGTCAAAGACATTTTCTTTTTTTTTTATCTTTTTTTAAATATAACGATGTAAATCTAAGGAACTCTAACGAAACTAAGATATTACAGACTAAATCCAAAGCAAGCATGAATAAATATATTAGAACAAATTCATGAACGCATTTTATAGTGTCAATAATTTTACCATTATACTGCGAGATTACATTCAATTGTATTCAGAACAGAAAATAAAATCTACATAGTTACATGTTTTTGTGTCTTTTTGTGATAATGTGAACTTTAAGCATAATATATAGAGAGGATTAGGCACCGTTTGTACTCAAATTTTGTTATATAATCAAAATTAAAATGGACGTATATGAATAAAGCTGTCACAAGTGCAAAAACGGAGGTAATCGATTTGAGTTCTTTAAATTCTATTTGAAAACCCTGGCCTGCACGCAGAAATATAAACTAACTGTTTGAGTAAGTTGAGAATTATAAGGATTAAACACATTTCGTTTATAGGTTATTTGTGTGTAAACTGGACCAAGAAACTCACAAAGTGTATAAAAAGTCACATTTTAATGAAAAGTTTGTGAGTCCGCTTAATATACACTAATAACCTATAGAAAAAAAAATGTGTTTAATCCTTCTTGTTCTCAACCCGATATTTGTTATCTTTTTTCTTCCATTTTCGGCATTTTTGCAGCCCTATGATTTCATTCCATGACATCTGTATCGTGCATGACTATACCGCTGACAGTGAAACTCGTTTGTTTTTTAAGGACAATATTCATACACAAAAAGATATCCTCTTGTAAGATTCCTACAGAGTCAATTTTCAAACTTCTATTAGTAAGCGTTCCATTTAATTTTGGCAACAATTTCAACGGCGTATGTTGGGCTTTTGGTGCAGCTCCTTATTGTTAATGTATATATTTGTATTTATAGTTAATGCTGCCGGTGCTGCATCAAAATACTTTCATTAATGATCAGAATTTTTTAGAGTAAATGTGCAGGAAACTGTTTCAGTGGTTGTCGTTTGTTGATGTGGTTCTTAAGTGTTTCTCGTTTCTCGTTTTTTATATAGATTAGACCGTTGGTTTTCATTGTTTTACACTAGTCATTTTGGGGTCCTTTATACATTTTAGCTTGCTGTTCGGTGTGAGCCAATGCTCCGTGTTAAAGGCCGTACTTTGTCCTATAATTGCTAACTTTTTATACATTGTGACTTGGATGGAGAGCTGTCTCATTGGCACTCATACCACATCTTCTTATTTATATGTACAGCTCATTATACTTTACTTAAACTTAACTGGGATGGTGTCAGATATTATAACGCATGTATTTTTTTCCCTTTTGCAGGTGCATGATAACAATTTCGGATTTTAGATATATTCCTTTAACACCTAGGAAGTGTATGTGTGCTGATTTAAAGTTATAGGTGTAAAACCACCATTGATTTCCCCCTATTAGTCTTTGTTAAATTTGCACTTTTCAAAAAATTGTGCAGAATTTATCTTT